ACTTGGACAATTCAAAGACCATTGAAGAGACCTTGAACGAGTGAAAGCGGACGAGATGAAATTCAAAAAACAAAACAAAACTACCCACTCGAAGTTGGTAGTGGTGGAATAAAAACAAACCAAAGGAACGCAGAGCGAGAGAACAAGGAATCAATTCGCAATCAAGCAGAATATCCGCATGACTTCAACCAACGTTGAGAGTCTCAGAATCTCAAAATCGCAAAGCATCACATAGCAAATAGCTTGCAACCCACCCCCCGGCTTGTGACGCGGAACTGAGCTAATTTGTGGAGTTGAAGATTGCAATGGGTAAACTCATCAACTCAATTCTGGCTTGTTGTTTTTTTTTTGGTTGCTGTGACTGTGCAGCGGCGTATGTGGAGACATTAATGTCAAGTCGGTATGTAGAATTCTCCTTGGAACTGTTTTCGGTGGACTGAGAGGGCAGAACTTGTGATTCCAACATGGCTTGTGTTTGTTGGCAGTTACAATCCCTACACGCCAGCTGGAGTGACTGGGTGGAGTTTCTTCGAGAGTCTGGACTCCAATTGCTACATTAAAGCTGTAAGATCGCTTGCGCGGAGCTTAACGGGTGACAAACACCACACCAACTGCCATCTTTTGTTCTGCAGATTTCCAGCGACTACGACAATGGTGCACAGGATAGAAATTGGAGAGTCCAAGCTGCATGTATTACCTCCACTGCCGGTGAATCTTACACGAGCGGCTCCTTCGTCATCCCGGGGGTGACGGGGCCGACTGGGTTTCCCAACAATGGATCATGGAACTCTCTCAATGGCGTAAGCATTGAATGTATGGCCAGGAGTGTGCTACTGGCATGTCCTCTCTCACTCCTTGAATTGATGAACAGGACTTGAACAAGTATTTGAGCTACGGATACATGTTGGACGGCCTGGGGTCCGTTTTCGATGCTACTTGGAAAGATCGATACTACGAGGGCCGTGGTAGAGCCACACCAGCGGAATTTGAAACGGGCACTTGCGCGTGGCTACCGACGGCGAACGCGGCACTAGGCCCACTCGGCGCCACTTGCAGCGGCACCTTTTCTTACTTTGCCGGCGTGAGCTCGAGTAAGAATCCTTGCTAAGTGGGACTAGGGACAGTTGTGTTTGTGATCGCTGATTTCTGGCTGTGCGTGCGTTTGTAGCTTACGACAACACCAACAAGGACCGCATCTGGAAGTACTATTGCTGTGCAATGGCACCAAAGGCCTGTCCGGCAATTCCAGCGCTGACCAATGGAACGTGGGTTTGTCCGTACACCACTGTGGGAGCCGTCTGCAACCAAACGTGCTCGCTGGGATCACGTCCAAGCACGTCTGGAGCGACCGTCACTTGTCAGAGCAACAAATCGTGGACGACCTCGACGGCGACCTGCAATCTCGGAAGCTGCGGTAGTTTGCCCACAGTTGCGCATGGGAGCTTTTCCTGCAGCTCTGGCAGTCTGTGTACGTGATGACCGTGAAGTTTGCTTATTTATGGTGTGAGGGTTTGCTCACGACGTGCATTTCTTTGATCGTTATTGTGGTCAGATGGCGCATCGTGCTCGCTCGGCTGCGACGATGGCTACCAACCCTCAGCTCCCACGTCCATCAGCTGCGGGGACACTGGCACGGCATTTGCATGGTCGACGCCCAGCAATGGCTGCGGGCTTGTCTCGGCGTATTGCGATGCGGCCTTCACGATTGCTCCAGAGCATGGCTCGGTCGATTGCGGGACATCCCCGCAGCAGCTCGGCACGGTCTGCAGCTACAGTTGCAATGCTGGCTACATTCTTGCCACAGAAGGCGGCACGGCGACCACCCGGACATGCGCTACCCTCAATAGTGCCCAAGGCCAGTGGACTGGCGGATCGTACCCAGTTTGCGTGCTCGACCCAGCGTACTGCTCGGGAGTGTCCGCTCCGACGCACGGCGAGGTGAACTGCGACAACCGCGCCCTGGGTGGATCGTGCGTCTACGAATGCACGTCTGGATATCAGATTCGCGGCCAGGCCGCGCACACTACCTTCACGACCACATGCACTGTGAGCGACTGGTCGGCGGCCGCTCCAGTGTGCGATCCTGTCGAGTGCTCGACGCTGTCGTTGCTGTTTGGTGGCGTGACGTGCTCGGCTGGAATGCACTACCCTTCGACCTGCACGGCCTTTTGCAACGAAGGTTTCGATCTGAGCGGAGCTGTCACGGCGGTGACGTGCAATGCCAATGCGCAATGGAATGCAACCCTTTCTGCCCTCTGCACCGTCCACTACTATACACCTCCTGCTTCAAACAATGCTCGCACAATTGCGCTGACGGCCGGCCTTGCTGCGGGCGTTGTGTGCCTGCTGTTGCTTGCGCTGATTCTGATCATTTATTGGGATCGTCGTCGTCGTCACAAACGTCGCCGACAATCCGTGCAAAAGGCTGACTCGACCCTAACGCGGAAGCAGATGGTAGAAATGTCGCCAGCGCAATCTCCGGGCAAAGGGCCAGATCAAGTCGAATCCAAGTCGAATACGTACGCGGTCGCAGGGCAACGCAAGCCCGTCGATGGTGATCTGAAGCAAAGCGCCGAGCATACGTATGCCACAAGCCCTGAACGCGTGTACAGCTCTATTGTCACGGAAACCACATCACTCCGACAAGGTCTTGTGCTTGGCGCCAAACTGGGCTCGGGCGTATCTGGGGTTGTTTTCCGTGGCCAGCTACCATCCAATCTCGTGCCTAAAGATGCCAAGTACTTGTTAACGGACGAAAGGCAGCCGCACCTGGCAGTTGCAGTCAAAACCATTCCAGCTGGCGCAGATCCTAAATCTCGACGCGAGTTTATCGAAGAGGCCCGCATGATGGCGCGATTCGACAATCCCAATGTTGTGCGCGCCATCTGCTCTTTGCTCGAAGCAGAGCCTCTCCTGTGCGTGCTGGAACTGATGCCGTTCGGCGATTTGCGAGGTGTGTTGCAAAGGTCGATCAAAGTCCAAGTGTCGTGGACGCGTGCAGAGTCGGCACATGCCCTGGCTCAGGTCGCTCGCGGGCTCGACTACCTCGAGCAAATTCGCTTTGTTCACCGTGACATTGCGGCGCGGAACTGCTTGGTCGGCGCGAATCTCGCCGTCAAAATTTCCGACTTTGGGCTGTCGCGCGCCATAGCCGAGGAGAATGACTACTACCGCATGGAGACCAAAGGCCGTCTTCCAGTGAAGGTAATTTTGTTCTCGAGGGTTTGCTGAGCTCGCAGGAGGGTACTGTAGAAGAGCACGAGAAGAAACTAACCAGGCTGTTTTGCTCGTCGACAGTGGATGGCTCCTGAGTGTCTGATGTATCGCAAGTTTACACATCAAAGCGATGTTTGGGCATTTGGAGTTCTTGCTTGTAAGTGAAAATCGGGGGACTTGGACCTTGGGGTTTTGCTTGGCCTTTGGCTGATGATTGGGATTGTTTTTTTTTTTTTGGTTTTGTTTCTCTTCAGGGGAGGTTTACGCTTATGGCGCATCGCCTTATGGAAACCAAAAGGGTCCGGAGATTCTCGCGCAGGTGGAAGGTGGCTTCCGACTGCCAAAACCTGCAGGATGCGACGATGTGGACTTTGAACAAGTTTTCAAGTGCTGGAATCGTGAGCCATTGTCCCGCCCGTCCTTTGCCACATTGAGTGCGTACTTTGCGCAAGTAGCTTTGAGCGCGCCTGTGCGTGATATTGGTTTACTTGTTTCTTCATGAAGTGGTGGCCCAACAGCCATTTTGGAACCGACAACTCGAATAGTTCAAGTTGCCTGATTGCTGTTTTTCCATGTGCCTTGCTCTTTTTGTGTCCGCTTGTAGTTTCACTGAATTGTTGACTTTGTTATGATTGCTTTGGACATTGCCGGTTGTCTACTCTATTGGATTTCCTTGTGTGTGTTTTTTGAGTGTGAGGCTACTCCTTTTTTTTTTTTCTTTGGTTTTCTATTCTTTTCTTTTCTTTTTTGCCCCCACTTTTCTCTTCTCGTCCTTGGTTCTCTTGTTCTTCTCATTCACACCCATCCACATACAACACTTGCGCACACATCCACACACATGGCGCTGCGCGTGGTCCTGCTGCCGCTGGTGCTCGTTGCCGCATGCATTGCATTGACGACGCGGCCCGCTCTGTGTAAGTTGCGCAAGCCCACACGGCTGCGCGATCGGCTGATTTCTTCAACTCGCCCGACCGCTCGCCCGCTCTCTTCTTCTTGTTCCTGTCATCGGGTTGATCTCTACCTCCCGCTCTCTCACACATACTCTCTCTCTTCCGTCGTGCTCTCTCACACGCACATCCGTCTCTCATGGCTGCAGGCCGGTCAATACACAGAATACAAAAACAACCACAAAAATTATTGTATTTCTTTTTTATTTTTTCATTCGCTTATCGATTTTCTCACGACTTTCTCGTCAGCGCACTGCATGTCGACCAAGCACACGACTACTAATAGTGTGTGTGTGTGTGTGCGTGCGTGTTGTGTGCGTGTGTCTCAGCGTGAGGATTATCGTGAGAAAACATGGGAGCACAACGGAGAATAGGCTTGTTCATTCGAGCGTGTTGTTTGTGCCGCAAACCAAAAAAACACAAAATGCAAACTGCCGCTCCTTCTTTGCGTCACTTTTGAGCGTTTGAGGCGGAACGACGCGGGCATTCCACCGAGTGCGCTGCAATGCAAGTTTGAATCACTGTTATTGTGATGCGCGCTATGCACAGCACAGAGCACTTGGAGATCACAAACAGCCGGAGTATGATGGGAAATGCGAAAACCCGACGGCCGTTTTTGTTTGATTTGGTTGTTATCAATTCAATGGAAATTGAAATAGCTTCTTTTGTGATTCTTTGGTTTGTTGATGAAAACGGGCATTGAAAATTGACGGATAATGATGACAAATTATCAGATAATGAATAAAGCCTGTGGCTGTAGGAACGGTGAGAGAAGAGTTGGGGGTGAGAGGGACACAAATAACAGAGCGAACGAACAAAACAAAAAAAGCAAAACAAAAAAAAAAAAAAAAAAAAAAAAAAACTCCAACAACAACTTGGACAATTCGAAGCGGACGAGATGAATTTCAAAAAACAAAACAAAACTACCCACTCGAAGTTGGTAGTGGTGGAATAAAAACAAACCAAAGGAACGCAGAGCGAGAGAACAAGGAATCAATTCGCAATCAAGCAGAATATCCGCATGACTTCAACCAACGTTGAGAGTCTCAGAATCTCAAAATCGCAAAGCATCACATAGCAAATAGCTTGCAACCCACCCCCCGGCTTGTGACGCGGAACTGAGCTAATTTGTGGAGTTAAAGATTGCAATGGGTAAACTCATCAACTCAATTCTGGCTTGTTTTTTTTTTTTGGTTGCTGTGACTGTGCAGCGGCGTATGTGGAGACATTAATGTCAAGTCGGTATGTAGAATTCTCCTTGGAACTGTTTTCGGTGGACTGAGAGGGCAGAACTTGTGATTCCAACATGGCTTGTGTTTGTTGGCAGTTACAATCCCTACACGCCAGCTGGAGTGACTGGGTGGAGTTTCTTCGAGAGTCTGGACTCCAATTGCTACATTAAAGCTGTAAGATCGCTTGCGCGGAGCTTAACGGGTGACAAACACCACACCAACTGCCATCTTTTGTTCTGCAGATTTCCAGCGACTACGACAATGGTGCACAGGATAGAAATTGGAGAGTCCAAGCTGCATGTATTACCTCCACTGCCGGTGAATCTTACACGAGCGGCTCCTTCGTCATCCCGGGGGTGACGGGGCCGACTGGGTTTCCCAACAATGGATCATGGAACTCTCTCAATGGCGTAAGCATTGAATGTATGGCCAGGAGTGTGCTACTGGCATGTCCTCTCTCACTCCTTGAATTGATGAACAGGCCTTGAACAAGTATTTGAGCTACGGATACATGTTGGACGGCCTGGGGTCCACTTTCGATGCTACTTGGAAAGATCGATACTACGAGGGCCGTGGTAGAGCCACACCAGCGGAATTTGAAACGGGCACTTGCGCGTGGCTACCGACGGCGAACGCGGCACTAGGCCCACTCGGCGCCACTTGCAGCGGCACCTTTTCTTACTTTGCCGGCGTGAGCTCGAGTAAGAATCCTTGCTAAGTGGGACTAGGGACAGTTGTGTTTGTGATCGCTGATTTCTGGCTGTGCGTGCGTTTGTAGCTTACGACAACACCAACAAGGACCGCATCTGGAAGTACTATTGCTGTGCAATGGCACCAAAGGCCTGTCCGGCAATTCCAGCGCTGACCAATGGAACGTGGGTTTGTCCATACACCACTGTGGGAGCCGTCTGCAACCAAACGTGCTCGCTGGGATCACGTCCAAGCACGTCTGGAGCGACCGTCACTTGTCAGAGCAACAAAGCGTGGACGACCTCGACGGCGACCTGCAACCTCGGAAGCTGCGGTAGTTTGCCCACAGTTGCGCATGGGAGCTTTTCCTGCAGCTCTGGCAGTCTGTGTACGTGATGACCGTGAAGTTTGCTTATTTATGGTGTGAGGGTTTGCTCACGACGTGCATTTCTTTGATCGTTATTGTGGTCAGATGGCGCATCGTGCTCGCTCGGCTGCGACGATGGCTACCAACCCTCAGCTCCCACGTCCATCAGCTGCGGGGACACTGGCACGGCATTTGCATGGTCGACGCCCAGCAATGGCTGCGGGCTTGTCTCGGCGTATTGCGATGCGGCCTTCACGATCGCACCAGAGCATGGCTCGGTCGATTGCGGGACATCCCCGCAGCAGCTCGGCACGGTCTGCAGCTACAGTTGCAATGCTGGCTACATTCTTGCCACAGAAGGTGGCACGGCGACCACCCGGACATGCGCTACCCTCAATAGTGCCCAAGGCCAGTGGACTGGCGGATCGTACCCGGTATGCGTGCTCGACCCGGCGTACTGCTCGGGAGTGTCCGCTCCGACGCACGGCGAGGTGAACTGCGACAACCGCGCCCTGGGTGGCTCGTGCGTCTACGAATGCACGTCTGGATATCAGATTCGCGGCCAGGCCGCGCACACTACCTTCACGACCACATGCACTGTGAGCGACTGGTCGGCGGCCGCTCCAGTGTGCGATCCTGTCGAGTGCTCGACGCTGTCGTTGCTGTTTGGTGACGTGACGTGCTCGGCTGGAATGCACTACCCTTCGACCTGCACGGCCTTTTGCCACGAAGGTTTCGATCTGAGCGGAGCTGTTACAGTGGTGACGTGCAATGCCAGTGCTCAATGGGATGCAGACCTTTCTGCCCTCTGCACAGTGCACTACACCCCTCCTGCTTCAGACGATGCTCAAACCACGGCGATTACAGCCGGCGTTGGCGCGGGCGTTGTGTGCCTGCTGTTGCTTGCGCTGATTCTGATCGTTATCCTGGCTCGTCGTCGTCGTGCCGTAAAGAGAACCTCTCCGAGCACTCTCGAAGCAAGAAATGGTGGCGGCAGCGTGTTGGATGCTCCACTTGTTCGACACGATGAAGCGGCGCCCAACTCACCTGCCGCCGATGCCAACTATGACGTTCTTGGCCAGCATCGGACCGATACTGACTTGACCGAGCAAGGATACTCGTCGCCCGGTGCGATGTCCGGATATTCAACTCTTGGCTCTCCCAAAGCGATCGAGGCCAACTACAATGTTTCCACTGGATCCGGCGTGTCGCAACCTCCCGAGTATTCCAACTGAGTGTACTTTCGATCAAATTTCGTCGTTCAACAGACATGTGTTAGGTGTGCTGATTGGATTCGGCGCATGCCCCAGTTTTGCGTTTTGTGAATGATTCTGCCGCCGAGTTTTTCTTTTTTTCTGTTGAATCAATTTGTTTTTTGTGCTTCTTGTCGCGCATCTCTGTTTCAATCGAACAAGTCGAGTTGGATGGCATCCTAAACAGCTGGGAATTGTTTGTGCGAGTTCTTCTTCTTTTGTGCCATTTCATTTGCCCTTCATTTTTCATTTTTTTTCTTTCCGACCTCGGCGAATGCGGCAATTTTTATTCTTGTCATTATTATTGCTGGCGTCGATTTCCAGCTGCAGAGGTAGTGCTACGCTCGTCGCTCGTCGCTATGCTGACGCCATCATACGCTTCCCTTTCCCTTGCTTTTACTCTGCCGCTCCTCAACCACCACCAATGCACACTCATGCACCAAACTGCGGTTCCAAAAGGTTGCGCGTTGGTTCCAACCACCCGAATTCGTAAAAAAATCAAAAATTAAATAAACAAACAATGGCAATTTATTGACCAACGGTTGAACGGTTGGTTGTTATGATGTGCAGAGCGAGCCGCTTCGCCACGATTGCCGCCGCTCGTCTCCAACACGCACGCATACACCAACCCTTCCGCTCATTGCGAGTGGCATCGCTCGTGAGTGAGCAGCAAACCATTTTTTGCGCAAGCCAACGCACTTTCTTCGCTCAAACAACACAAATCCAATTACGAGAAATACCCGCTAGCCGACCCAGCCGATCGTTTGATTGTTTCCATGATGTTCTGGGTCTCTCTCTCTCTCTCTCTCTCTCTTTGTCCTGCAGAGCATTACAAGTGTATGCTTATTTGCTGCTGAAGGTCAACCCTTCTCCCCCCTCCCCATTGTGCTCTACGTCCTTCTGCTTGTTCTGACTGTGGGTTGCATCGAAAATCCTCCCCCCCTTTTTTTTTGACTTGGTCGGATTTTATTTCAATTTGTGTCCTTTTTCCCTCAATTTCAAAACAAAATGATTCATTCACGCAACAACCAACTCAACGAGCAGCCCAGCGACCGTCCGCACACGCTTCGAACGAGGGGAACATAAAAAAAAATCACCGAGAAATAGAGAACGAGAGAATGTGAGAGCGAGTGAGCGTTGTGTGAATGATCTACTTCACGTGGGACCAGCTCGAAACGAATCCAAATAAAAAATAAAAAATATAACAATCGGTGGCACCAGCCCTTCTTCCTGTTGTTGTTCTCTCTGCTCCATGACGAGGTGGACGAGTGGGGCCGAAAATGACAAACATGAGGAAACGGGAAAAAAAAAAAAAACAAGCGTCTGAGATCTCGCACCCGAGCCAAAGTGTTGTGGAGCAAGTGCCCGAATGAACCCAAATTGGGAGACGAGTTGCGGGATTGGTGGTTTAGCACTCGTCGAAACGTGAAACGCCCGTCGGAACGACCAAGATGGAAAATAGCAAAATGGGGCGATGAAGCGACGAAGCCGGGGGCAATGAAGCAAAGGAATGCAAAGAATTGAGAGGTTGGGGTTGAGGTTGATTGAGAAGATTGCTCACTCATTGTTTCGCTGTTTCGCCGTTTCGCCGTTTGGTTTCTCTTGTTATGAGCAGCTGCATTTTCCGAGACCGAAGCGGGCTGGTGAGTTATCGTACGACTTTGGATGTAATCATTATCGTTTCAGTGCTGATCGATGCTCACTTGCTGGAGTTTCGTTCCTAGGTTCAAGCTGTTTACTCAGGATAATGCCAATTGGGAATCCGCCGATGTTGGCACGGAAACGCAGTGTTATTTTGCAGGGGTAAGGCGGCCAAGCATGAAGCATGGAATAAACGCGCGAGAGAGGGTCGAGAGATTTCTGACAAGACACATCATGCAATGTTTGAACACGGCCAGTTCCGGTCGAAGCATGACAATCACGATGAGGACCGCTGGTGGGATTATCACGAGTACTGCATCACGCATTCTGGCGAACAAATCACGAAAGGGAACTCACCCGACGCCTACTTTCAGATGAACGACTGGGACCAGGTAATAAGCTTTGGATTCGCATTCAGGATGGATGTAGCTTGTGTTGATCTGGAGCTGATGCCTGTTGGTACGACAGGATTTCAGCTGGACTGCCACGACAGGTCGAACAATCTACGGAATGAACTCGCGCCACTGGAACACCAAAGAAGATCGTCTTTATCAAGTGAAAACCGTTGAAATGATTCCCGAGTTCGAGTACACGGGTGGTTGTTCGACGACTGCCGAAGTGAATAACTTTGACGGAGATCTAGACTACACATGCCCTCTGGTGTTTGAGTACATTGCAGGAATGTCTTCAGGTAAAGAATCGTACGATTGGTGGATCACAAAATTGGGTCTGACCCCTTAGCGTTGAATGGCTTGCAGTTAACAGCAACAGCAATGAAGATCGCCGCTGGAAGTACACCTGCTGCAAGATGGCAGCCAAGTCGTGTGGTTTCCCTGCATCATTCACGTCTGGCTCGTGGAACTGCAACCGACAGACAGTTGGTGGCGTTTGCAGTCATTCGTGTGCCACCGGCACTCGCTCAACATCCGCTTCAGGCACTGTTACGTGTCAGTCAAACAAGTTTTGGTCGACGCGCAATTTCCAATGCAACACGATCAACTGTGGCAATCCAAGCAATCCGACGAATGGACAGTTTAATTGCGGTAGCACGACTTGTAAGACTACTGATGCTGTTCTACTGTCAGGATGCGCCCGCATGCAAAACTCATCAAAATGATCGTTTGTGTTTGTTTTCGTTTGTTTTCGACAATGCCCTTTAGATCAGGGAACTTGCTCAATGAGCTGCAACAATGGATATCAGCTGTCTGCCGCCGCAACCATCACTTGCTCAGACTACACTAGCTCTTTCGGTTGGTCCTCTTACTCGAGCTCTTGTAATACTATCACAAACTACTGCCCAGCCCCGCCAACTTCAATCACTCTCGGCAGCGTGAGCTGCCAGCCGACCACTCGCAGCATCGGAACAGTGTGCACCTACTCTTGCGATTCGGGCTATGTCGTGGACGGCACATCGCAGCGTGTTGTTCCAGTCACTTGCCTGTCCAGCACTGCTTCTGTCGGTGTGTGGTCGCGCGCGACACCAACGTGTGTTCTGTATGCGGAACATTGCCCGCACACTATGGCAGCGCCAACCAATGGAGCTGTCAACTGTGATGGATACTCGCTTGGTGGTATCTGCACTGTTTCTTGCAACGCTGGCTTCCGTCTGCGTGGTTATGCGCCACTTGCTACTGTCGATTCGGTGTGCAAAGCGGATACCACCTGGTCACGTCCCGAGACGTTCTACTGCGACCCGATCGCCTGCCCCGCGCTTTCACTTGGTAATGGTGGACTGAATTGCGTTGGAGGAACGACTGCTTACAACTCGCAGTGCACCCCGTACTGCAACGCTGGCTTCACACTGGAGGGCGACTACACTGGCGCAGTGCGCTGCAACGCCTCGCAGCTGTGGAACGCAACCCTCTCTGCGCACTGCCAGATTGTGTCGTGCGACCCTCTGACTCTCGAAAACGGTGCCATCGACTGCACCAATGGCAACACAAACTACCTCTCGGAATGCACACCGAGCTGCAATGCAGGCTACACCCTTGGCGGAGCCAACACAAATCCTGTGACGTGTCAGGCGTCGCGCGAGTGGAGCGCAACGCTGCAAGCAGAATGCACGATTGTATCGTGCGATCCTCTGACGCTTGAAAACGGTGCTGTTCTGTGCACCAACGACAACACAAACTACGGATCCGAGTGCATCCCGAGCTGCAACCCCGGCTACTCGCTTGGAGGAGACTACGCCGATGTTGTCGAGTGCCTGGCGACACGAGAGTGGGACCGCCCGATGGACGCCTCGTGCACCATTGTGCCTGCGATGTTCTGACGCTTCCGCACGGCACCGTGAACTGCACGAACAACTCGACCGACTTTGGCTCGGAATGCACTG